CTCATCTACTGTTCCGCCCCGTGTTTAGTTAGGTGAGTTCAGACAGGTCTGCTGCAGTCTTGAGAAAGTTCACACAGCAAAACAAACAGCAAACATGCCCACAGTGCTCCAGGCAGAGACAGACAGAAATAGACGTTCATGTTTCACAATAAAATCTCACACTCTGCAGTCTTCTGTGCAATTTCTCACTGCCCATTCTCTATATAAGTATAATAATTCACTACTCTTATTTTGCCTCGTACCTTGAAATGAAAACCCACATGCTGTGCCTGATTTCGAAGTCTGCGCCTTCCGGTGGATGCATTTGTCAATCGCATGCGTCATCAAGTCTGTCTCTTTTCAGAAAAGCAACATTTATATTCCAAAGTAAGACAGAAATTACAGTAATTTATGCACAGTAAGTACAGTAATTTAATATAAGGAATTATATTCAATTTTATAATGGTAAATTTCTAAAAAATATGTTGATGTATGTGGCCAACAAATGTGACCTCCGGAAGGCACAGCCTTCAGAATGTGTAACGGCAATAATCACTTTTCACAAGTAAATACTTGATTTTAGTTTTTATCACATAAAATTACTTAAAACTGCAATTCACCTTAATTGAATTTTTTAGTTACATCATTTTTTAAATGATTAAGTTTTTGTTTTATATATATATATTTTTAAATAGATGCACTCCTAATATTTTTTTTAACACAAAAGCAGTACTTTTTTTTTTTTTAACGACCATTTTCCACCCTCTGACACTTAGTAAGCTGCAGGTTTGCTGTGCAGTCAAAAGTGAACTGTATTTTAACCCTGTCATTCAATTTCAACTTTGCAAAGCTGCATTACATTATGACGGGTTCACAAAATAATCTCAGTCTCAAACTGTTCTGACTGAAATGATCAGGAACATTGCAAATAGTACAATAAACCTTTTTATATCAAAAAATTCAAGCGAACTTCCTTAGCTCAAGTGATGGCGTGAGTTTGGGACGGGACTATCTGCTTCTCCATCCAATAGAAGTGTTTGGTGATGCTAGTGGCATAAAAATTACACACATAAACTGCTTTAAAGGGGTCATATGATGCGATTTAAATTTTTCCTTTATCTTTGTCCGGATGCTCTTTCGTTGAAATTGCCGGCCGCGCCGTTCTCAAGCCCCCCCGCCTCTGCTCACTCTAGCCCTCCGGCCTCTGCTCACTTTAGGCCGCCACCGCTCACTCGAAAGGAGGAGCTGGGGATGGAGGAGGGTAATTTGCTCCCAAGCAAGCTGAAAAGCTGCTGAATAATACTGAATAGAGCTTATATAGGAATGCCGCGATAGGTGTCGTATTCCTATAGGTAGATGTGATCAGCTGAGAATCAGCTGATGCAAGCTTGACTCACGTAACCTGCCAGAACTAACGCTAATGCTTAATTTATGTCCCCACTGGATGCAACGAATGCCTCGTTTTTGGGTTTTCATGTTTTTGAATCATCGCTCCGGCCTCACAGGGCATCATCACAATATGGTAAGGGGCGTAACATTTCCGTCACACGCTTGAG